TTTTTTATAATTTGTGTGATTTTATTATTTTTATATTATTGTTTTATTTTGTGCATGTTAGTATTATAAAATTATTTTCTTTAGGTTCTACATGTGTTTATTTCCTTTTCTATAAATTGTGTGTTTTACTATGTGCTTAAATCCTATGTAATTGTACATCATACAATGGGTAAAATATATATTAGAATAATTGAATCTTTACGTACGTTATAGTCTCTAGAAATTCGTGTATCGGTTTATATTAATTTATTTATTTCTTAGGCATATACGTTATACAGCGTTTGGTACTTTCTTGTTAGATGTTAAGGAATTTCCTCATGTTAAAATCTTCAACGTTTATAGGTAATTTAATATTTACAATAAGAATTCAGGTAATAGCAAATTTACTTTAAATAAATAAAAGTAATCTAATGCGGTTATAATAGAACTTTGTTGCACTTGTGTAGCTATTAATAATTCAATTACTTGCCAACGGTAAATATTTCCCTTACTAAATTCATCTATTAATTATTTATTTCAAATATTTTATTACTCACACTGAATAACTAGCTTTGTAGTGTTTCTTTGTTTGTGATAGTAATGCAAGGTTGCTATTTCAAATAGAGGGATACTGCCTGGTTGGGATTTAGTACTTACCCATACTACAATTATATACATTCTACAAAAGGTGTCGCATGGGGGAGTTCTTGATTACTGAAGGCTTCACTAGAAGGAGGAAAATACTAGTATCGATGATTGAACTATTGAAGTGATATTTTCCAAGAGTTTTTGATGATATATTATGATCCGTAAATCTCTATGGAGGCTTTAGTAAGGAAGTATAATTTCTGAATTAGTTGTGGAAGTTTTGAGAGAGGCTCAGATCGATGAATCTATGATGAAGTCACATGTTCCATCATTTGAGGAGAGATGGGTCAAAGCTCGCAATTAAGGTTTTAGACCACGATCCCTGTGGAGATTTCTACAACCAATAGGGACTTCAGTTTAGTTGAAAATGTGGTTATCTAGGTCTCACACCCTGAACTTTACTATATGTGCGTTATATGTGTGGTGTATCAATATAGAGATATGTTGCTACCTTGGACATATGGTGTTATGTAGGTAAAGATTTAGGACACATATCACATTTATTATATAATACAAATTATTACACTGCACAAATATGTATATAATAGATGAATTAATCCGTAATCAATATTATCTATATTAATCAGCTGAAGCAATAGCAATGCAGTTCAATATGACTCCCTTATAGCTATAGAGACTTATTTTGCTTTCCGTAAATAGTAGAATTGCCTAATTATAATATATAGTTATCATATAACAACAGATATGTAATTGTGAAAATTGTACGCATTGGGGGGTTTATTAGATGAGATCAGGGAGTTTACCAGAAGTAGTGAAGGTGAGTGTTAGTGCATTTTAAAAGGGTCCTTTAAACCTACACCTGTGTCACAAGTCTCGGGCACCACTTGTGGTTCTCTCCCTGAACCATCAGTGGCCAGTATGAGGGCCTAAATCGTCATCATAATTAGTGGGTTTAATAAACGTATACATATAATAATAATAATCTCAGGACAATTCACACACATATAAAAGTATAATTACTAATTAAACCGGTATCTATTAATTCTTATTGGTTATTATTAGAGTATTTCTTCGGTTCTTTATTAATTTAAATATTTATTATTATTTTCCTTGTTCCAGTCAATTCAATAAATAACGGTTTATTTTAAGGTCCTTGGCCATAATAACAAATACTAATTACTTTAGTGTATAAGCTCAACTTAAGGACTCTTATTCCTTTAATTTATATATACATATTATATATATATATGTTTATGTAGGGGAGGTAGGGGAGCATTGGGCACTTTTTTACATAAATGTTAATAAAACTGTTATTTTTTATCATAATCAAAATTTTATTCCTAATATAGGGAGCACACATATTTGGTAGTAATTATTATTAAGAAAAGTTTCAATATTGTTATTAGTTTCAAAGTTACAAGAGATCTTCGAACACATGTCCAAAGTGCCCAAACCTCCCGGCGGTCGGGAGGTTTGGGCACTGTATTTAATATGCACGAAATTGCTTTACTATACTACTAGGCTTAAGTATTATATAACATTACTATAAAAAATTGTAATACAAACATTTTTTCTTATCATAGATTTTAGAAAAATTTAACAATGTGACTTAGAATCAGTACTGCACGATGTTAGACTTAATTAAACTTATCTTATATTTGGTATGATCCATAGAGGCTTGTCAAATTTATATTTTAAGCTGCCACGTTTCATCCATGTCGTTGGTGTAGGCAATTTTGTCTTTATATCCTCCAGGAGGACACTGGCTACGTCCTCGATGTCAGGAAATATAAAAGTATTTCTTAACTTACTCACTCTCATAAATTTTACAGTTGCCATCGTCTGATTAACATCTTCAATTATTCCAACATAATGGTAGACAGTTTTTTTGGTGTCAAATTTCACTAATACAAAGTTATTGATCTGGAAATTTCTATCCAGAACGATCACATCGTCTTCATCAAAATCTTCCGATTCAACAACGGTTTCGTCAGAAACTGAAACATTTTCTATTTCATCATCGCTGCTAATTTTCCTGTTTTTCTCTGGTTTGGAAGTAAATTCATCAGCAAGTTTCGGAATTTTTTTCTGTCCTGTATTTTTGAAGCATTTTCTATTTTTGTTGAGCTCTTTGATCTTATTTTTTCTTTGTCTTTCTTCTTCTTCCATTTCTATAAGTCTTTTCTCGGGTGTGTCCGTCAATATTCTAGTTTTTCCCTTCTTCCGTTTCATACCCTGCAATTTCCTGGGGCCGGCCTTCGGATACGGTCTTACTACATCAGGTGTTACATTGACAGTGCCACTAATTTGACTTGTAGAGGGAGATTCCAGTTGAGATGGCCCAATGACTTCCACATTTGAACTTGTACGATCCTCTAGACTCTGATTTTCCCCTGTTGAAGGCTGTTCAGTGACAGGTTGGTCTGAAATAGATTGTTCTGAAGGAACATTACCCTCTTCCGACAAGCAGCGATCAGTTATAGAAGAACAAGCGAAATCTTCATCGGAGAAAATATTTGAATTCAATGGCCATATGCCAGATTTTTCAAATCCACTTTGAATATTCTGCAAATTGAATGCTAGTGGAATGGCTTTTGCTGCTAATTTTGGTATTTCATAAATTGTTACTGTTTTGGCCGGATTGCTTACCATCCAATCTGTTACAGCAGTGTTATAATAAGTTTTCAGTGGTCCATAGACAGTCAGGTCTAGAGGTTGCAGTTTATGGCTGCAGTGTGGTGGGAAAGTCATTAAAACAATGCCTGATTGTTTGCAAAAATCGAGAACTGCTACTGAAATATGGCTCTCATGATTGTCCAGCAGCAAAAGAACTGGCGATGAAGGCGTTGGTTTTGCGTGTTTGGCGAAATGGTGAATATATTTTAAAAAATTTGGTGATGTCATCCACCCTGAAGGATGTGCTGCTCCATCTGAACCAACAGGGGCATCATTTAGCATATATGTTTTGAAATTAACCCGTGGGAATATGAAAAATGGTGGTATTGAGTTACCCAATGCATTAATACCGCAGCAAACCGTTACAAGCGTCCCTCTTTCAGCTGACGTTACTTGCCCAACTTGCTTAGTGCCTCTGAGAGCAATCACTTTCTGGGTTCGTTGCACCGTTGATAATCCAGTTTCGTCTATATTGTAAATAGACTCAGGGCCGAAGCGATGCCGTTCATACACAGTTTTAAGATTTTCAAAAAAATTTCCGACATTTGTCTTATTGAAGCTTGTGGCCCGTGACAGACTGGTAGCCTCTGGTGTCCTTATCGAAAGTTGAGGCTGTCTTTTAAAAAATCCCCTTATCCAGTCTTTGGATGCAAGTTTCTTCTCTGTCCAGTTATCTGGTATTTTCTTTTTAATGGCAGTGGCGTATTCATAAACCAATTCGCGTGTTTTCAGTTTTGATAGTCCATGGTTTAGTTTAAAAGATGTTACAAGATATTCCGAAATTTTCTCTTCTTCATCTTTTGTGAATATTTGAGACGATATAAATTTACAAGAATTATCTTTTACGACGCCACCCTGCTTGATACCTTGATACCTTGATACCTTTGAAGGTTAGATCTTGGTATGTCATATTTATTCGCAGTACTTTTAATTTTAGCACCTTTGGAAACTTCTTCCAATGCGCGCAAAATAATATCTTTAGGGATTTCACGTCGCTTATTTTTCTTTTTAAATGAAAACGGCATTGTCCTAAAAAGAAATGATTAACCACTCAATCCAATAGGCATAGCAAAAAGACACCAAAATACACTAAAAACAGAGGGAGGAAACCTGCGTGCCCAATGCTCCCCATAACCTCACTTTTCAAATAGATTAGAATAAGATTATTTTTATCAAATGTAGAAACCTAATTTACAGGCAAATATAATATTCATTATAATACTATACTATAACACAAAAGAAAAAGATGTGGCACACATACACTTATTAATTGTATTTATATATTGTATGTATCAACATCCACACTATACAGTTACACACAACATTATAATTAATTGTATTTATTTTATATCCACATATATTCCATACTCAAACACACTACACACATTACCTGCCGCAATCGGTTAAATACCGTTAGCCGTGTCCGTAAGCAATCATGCGTTAGCTGTGAGCACCGCAGTCATCGTGCATTCGTTAACTGGCTAACCCGCGCTCGCACTTATAAACTTCTAGTGCTTAGCTTACGCCTAATTATTCTTTCTTTGTAGTGTCTATCTTTGTGTTTTCTATATCTTATTATAAACTGTATTGTGCTTGTCTGAACTGTCGCTTTCCCTTGTAAAATATTCTTACAATATACGTTGAAGATAGTGAGTGACTTTTATTTAAATAAAGGAACATAATAGCTATATTGGTGACCCCGACCATTGAACATTAAGTCGCACAAAAAAATCAAGATGCAACGTGCCGGTGCCACGCCCAGTTCGCCCGCGGAGAATATTCTACTGCAACCGCCTATTTTTTCTACGCCACCGCCACAATCGACTTTAATCTCACAAAATGAAAATGGCGAATTATGTCGAGTGGGATTAAAACCAACTCCGTTTTGGCCTGATCGTCCAGCGCTTTGGTTTGCACACCTGGAAGGGCAATTTTTACTGGCACGTATTAATTGTGATAGCACAAAATTCTACCATGTTTGTGGGCAATTGGACCGACAGCACATAATAGAAGTGGAAGATATTATTGAGAACCCACCCAAAGAAAATATGTATGCTACACTAAAGGCGGAATTAATACGTAGACTTTCAGCCACTCAGGAACAAAACGTGAAGCAATTACTTGAGTTTGAAGAATTAGGTAGTCGTAAACCTTCTTAATTCTTACGACACTTAAGGCATCTAGCGGGACCCAAAATACCGGATGATTTTATTAGAACCATATGGTCAAGCAGACTCCCGCAGAACATACAGCCGATAATAGCTTCACATCAAGATATGCCTATTCAAAAATTAGCAGAATTAGCGGACAAAATTCAAGCTATAGCTTCACCGTCTGTGACAAACGTGGCAGAGATCCATTCAGAACCCACGAGCTTCGCACACCAGCAACCGAGCCCATTAGAAAGTATGTCAGTACAAATAGCAGAACTTAGCAGGCAAGTCGCAAAACTTACAATGCACGCGTCAAGACGAACAGGTTATGGAGGCAGAAGTACAACACGCTCCCGCTCCAGATCAAAACCCAGGAATAATGGTATGTGTTATTATCACAATAAATTTGGTGTAAAGGCGAAACGTTGTACCACGCCTTGTTCGTTTAAGGCGGAAAACTACACAGGCAGCCATTAGTGGCGGCTACCGACTGCCTCGCGTGTAATGGCCGCCTCTTTGTTACTGATAAGAAGAGCAAACTTCAGTTCCTGGTTGACACTGGCTCTGATGTATGTGTCTTCCCTAAAGCAGCAACCAGAGGGCCACGCCCAAAAACAAAGTACGAGCTAACAGCAGCCAACAACACAGTCATTGCTACTTATGGTATCGTACAAGCCCACGTAGACTTAGGACTACGACGGGACTTCAGCTGGAGGTTCATAGTTGCAGACGTCACAAAACCAATTATCGGATTCGATTTTTTAAGCCATTATAACTTATTAGTCGACTGCCGTAATCATCGCCTTGTAGACGGACTTACCTCATTGTCAACCCCAGCTGCTCACTGTGAAATTACATCTGATGACGTATTTGATATTAAAACCATTGCAGGAGATTCGCCATATCATGAGCTGTTGAGGAAGTACCCAGAAATAACGCGACCATCAGGGACACAACTGAAACCTAAACATAATACTCGTCATCACATACGTACGACTCCCGGACCACCAGTCTCGGCCAGACCGCGCCGTTTAGCACCAGACCGCTTACAGGTGGCTAAAAAAGAATTCGAGGAGATGCTACTCAACGGAACTGCCTGCCGTTCGGAGAGTCCATGGTCGTCGCCGCTACATCTTGCGCGTAAGAAAGATGACGGCTGGCGTCCATGCGGAGACTACCGTTCACTCAACGCAAGGACTATTCCAGACAGGTACCCAATTAGACACTTGCAGGACTTCGCATACCAACTTTCAGGAGCCAAGGTCTTCTCAAAAATTGACCTGGTAAAGGCCTACAATCAGATCCCGGTAAATGAGGAGGATATACCCAAAACAGCGATCGTCACACCCTTCGGACTGTTCCAGTTCCCATACATGACGTTTGGATTGCGTAATGCAGCCCAAACGTTTCAGCGATTCATTGATGAAGTCTTACAGGGACTAGATTTCGCTTATGGGTACTTGGATGACATTCTCATCTTCTCCAGGTCTGATGAGGAACACCTGCAACACCTGCAAACCTTATTTGATCGATTTAAGGCATACGGTTTACTAATTAACACTTCTAAGTGCGTATGGGGTACTACAGAAGTTACTTTCTTAGGATACCACGTCTCTACTGCGGGCACACGACCTTTACAAGACAAGGTCACCGCCATTCAAGATTATCCTGTTCCTAAGACAGCCAAGGAGTTGAGAAGATACCTAGGAATGCTCAACTATTACAGACGTTTCATTCCGAAAGCGGCTAAGATACAGGAGCCTCTCAACGCTGAACTCCTCGGAAACATCAAAGGATCAACTCCCATTAACATCACAAAGAAATCCTGGATGCTTTTGAAGAATGCAAGTCCAGTCTGTCAGAAGCAACCCTCCTAGTTCATCCAGACTGCAGAGCTGAGCTGGCGTTATACACTGATGCGTCAGATGATGCGATTGGGGCCGTGCTTCAACAAAAAACCAAAGAAGGGTGGTTACCATTGGGATTCTTCTCCAGGAAACTTTCTTCATCACAGAAGAAATACAGCCCATACGACCGCGAGCTACTGGCTATCTACGAAGGCATTAAATACTTCCGGTATATGCTTGAGGCCAGAAGCTTCATTGTGTTTACAGACCACAAGCCCATAACATTCGCGTTTACCACCAAGCGTGATACATGCACGCCCCGACAGTTTCGGTATCTGGATTATATATCCCAATTCACCACCGATTTACGTCATATAGCTGGCCAGGATAACATAATCGCAGACGCACTGTCACGCATAGCAGAGGTTACAGCAGGGGTAAACTATGAAGATCTTGCACGAACACAGGGAGAAGACCCTGAACTGCAAGAACTTCTCACTAAAGGAACAGCACTACACCTGAAAAAGGATACAGGAAACATATATTTCGACCATTCTACTGGCAATCCACGGCCATACATACCATCAGCGTTCAGAAAACAAATTTTCCACAGTATACACGACCTGAGTCATCCTGGTGCAGCAGCTACAGCGAAATTAATTGCTCAGAAGTATGTATGGCCCGGAGTGAGAAGAGAGTGCAGAACGTGGGCACAACAATGCACAGATTGCCAACGTAACAAAATAACCCGTCATTCTTCCTCTCCTTTCTCCACTTTCCCTATTCCTTCCGAACGATTTTCCCATGTCCACCTGGATTTAATTGGTCCTTTACCTTATTCTTCTGGTTTCAGGTACTGTCTCACAGCTGTCGACCGCTATACCCGATGGCCTGAGGCGTACCCATTAGCTGATATTACAGCAGAGACCTGCGCATATGCTTTCACATCTGGATGGGTGGCTCGCTTCGGTTGCCCTCACACCATCACTACCGACAGAGGACAACAATTCCAGTCACACTTGTTCCAGAGCCTGGCTAAACTGATTGGAGCAAAGCACTGCCCAACTACGGCTTACCATCCCCAAGCCAACGGTATGGTGGAGAGGTTACACCGACAGCTGAAGGCCGCCATCATGTGCCACGCAAACCCACAATGGACAGAGGTACTGCCGTTTGTCATGTTGGGTATCCGCAGTGCCTGCAAAGAGGACCTGAAGTCATCAGCTGCTGAACTCGTCTATGGAGAGCCTCTGAGGTTACCAGGCGAGTTCCTACATCCGACAATGTGTACGACGATAGATCCTACAGACTTTGTAGCTCGCCTCCGTAGACACATTGCCAACTTATCGCCAACGCCAGGAACATGTCACAACAGGAAAACATTTTATGTACCAAATGACATCTTCACATCCGAGTACGTATTCCTACGGAGAGGTCCAGCAAAACAAGCTCTTGAATCGCCGTATACGGGACCCTACAAAGTACTGAAAAGAGATCTCAAAACCTTCACACTCGACATACTAGGTAAAGAAACAACAGTGACCATTGACAGACTGAAGGCAGCATACATGGCGAAAGAAGATAAGGAGATGCCTACATCTACATGTCCAACAACGCAACTCCCATCTTCCTCTGACGAGCCGCAGCCAAAAACTACACGAAGTGGTAGGATAGTCCGTTTTCCAAATTACTATCGCCCGTGAATCGGTCTCGGCAAGGGGGTATTTGTGGCACACATACACTTATTAATTGTATTTATATATTGTATGTTTCAACATCCACACTATACAGTTACACACAACATTATAATTAATTGTATTTATTTTATAGCGATATATTCCATACTCAAACACACTACACACATTACCTGCCGCAACCGGTTAAATACCGTTAGCCGTGTCCGTAAGCAATCATGCGTAGCCGCCGGCCGCTGCGCTCCGGCTGCATAGCTGTGAGCAATGCAGTCATCGTTCATACGTTAACTGGCTAACTCGCGCTCGCTCTTATAAACTTCTAGTGCTTAGCTTACGCCTAATTATTCTTTCTTTGTAGTGTCTATCTTTGTGTTTTCTATACCTTATTATAAACTGTATTGTGCTTGTCTGAACTGTCGCTTTCCCTTGTAAAATATTCTTACAATATACGTTGAAGATAGTGAGTGACTTTTACTTAAATAAAGGAACATTATCGCTATAAAGATAACACAGATACTTACGTTCTTGCAGATTTCTTTGATAAGTTACATCAAATCACAAATAAAATATTTACTTCTGTACGCAGCAAACCGTTACGCGCATGTAACTTGACAACCAAGTGAAATGACAGCTGACACTTTAGATAAGCGGTGTTGCTAGTGAATAAAGTATAGTGCTGTGGTAGAAAACAAAAAATATCTATGAAAGTTTTGGAGAAATGAGGGGGTGCCCAAACCTCCCGACTGCCCAATGCTCCCCTACCTCCCCTATACATAAATATAATCACTTATATGGGCTTCGGTCCTCAATCTATATATATATTTATGATTATCCATTTATATGGCTAATCATTTCATCAATTATCTTAGGCTTTGGCCTTTACATCTAAGGACTCCGGTCCTGTATCACATCGACTGTCTACCTAGTGGATGTTTATACATCACAATAATCCATGTCATGGATTTTTGACATTATTGTAACAAGTTAGTTGGTAAGTCTTCCACTTGAGGCTTGGCGTGTGGATGGAGCCAGTCTCCTCTGCCTCTTAGGGGGCCCTATTAATTATTAAAACCATAATGATTTCATTTTCAATTATTTACCTTATAATTATTATTCATAACAAATACTTTGTATCACAATTTGTATTATCGAGATATGTATTTATCTCGCAGTTGCAGTCGCAGATTGGTATATGACGGAGTAATCCGTCATATACCAATCAAAGAATCTATAGTTACTACACATACACAACAGGTCCTCCGATACTAGACGATCACATATTATTATTTATATGGCCAAATGATTGAGTGTTCTCGTTTCTGATCTATATATTTAAATAATTATTATATTATCCAATTAATTAGAAGAAGAGAATAAAATATTATCCAAAAAACTTATTAGGGAAAGGGGCGATCGTTACAGCCTTATGACTGCTACTTTTTTTTTTTTTAATCTATACATCTAT